TGGTCTGGAGCTTCCGAGACTGCCTTCACTGCCAGAGAAAATGCAGAACTGCACCAAAGTCTGCCTTTTCTGTTGTCCTTGATGTGCTTCGGTGATTAGCCAAAGACATTCTGAAGACAAATTAGAAAAATAACAACTGTTTTATTAAAAAGCTCATGAGCGAAGGTGAAATATCCCCTTCATCAGAACCTACGTCCCTAATGGGATGTTAAGTGATCGCAGAGTGAAATAAATAATAATTAAAAAATAGACAGAAACGCTGCATCATTTAACAAATGCTTACCAGGCGACCAGTAGTGGAGGGCAGGAAATTAATACTCATAACTTATGATTAGGTTTGCCAGAGGAGTCACATGCTGCTGTCCTTTGTGTGATTCTCAGAAAATGAAAGATGCAGAATGAGATTAACACATCCAAACTTCCCAAGCTCACACAGGCCTTTGATTTTCCAGGGAATGTTCTTCCCTCCATCGTCCTCCCCTCACAGGACGTATGTATTTGTTAACTAGACCAAGAAGTGGGGGAATCTGTTTTCCTAACAATTTACCTGATGGCATAAATCAGCCTACATCACTTTCCTGATACAGAATCTTGGGCAGATCCCTTCCCACTTCCTGACCAGGATTTTGGAACAACCAAAGAGAAAACAGTCTGCCCTAATTATGTACTCCATCATTAGCACTGAGCCCTGCTTGTTAGAAGGTAGGACTTCACCACTTCTACTGAGTGTCACCTTAATGTCCAGGCACGTTGGATCTGTTCTATAAGGCTGACAGTTAATGTGAGATAAAATACAGCAATAGGAGGATCATAAAAATGCTTATGCAAAAACCAGTGGAAAGTTCCAAAATACTGGAATGCAGTTATGGGTCATTCTGTAATTCAATTAGACAGTATTTTTCAATCTCTTTAGCTATGTGAATTTAAAATATGCAAAAAAACCCTACTTCATCATGTGTCATGTATATGGTCAGCTTAAGGTATGAACACATGAATGACAGGCACCACAATGAACGTTTTTCATACGTTCCTTTGCAAAAACAATACTGCTTTGTTGCAAAGGAAGCACTCCTTAACAGTATTTTTCCGAGTGAATGCTTTCCTCCTGAGCTTCATTCAAAATATACATAACTAATACAAATGTAATAATAACATATCTAACTGCCAGCAAATCATGTCATAGCATTACGATATGCTTAATCATTTACAAAAAATGTCGTATAAAGTCAGAATATTTGCTTATGGGAAATATACTATTTTTCTAAGGATTAATAGGATGGCAATTATTAGGGGAATGATTCACTTGTGCTGTATCTTCTCCAAACTGAATGAACTAACCTCTTTTAAGTCAACCAAGTCACACCTAGCTAGGAGAAAAGAGTCCGACCCAAATAATCCATAATTAGATCATCAGCTGCTAACACTATTGATCTCCTGAGATTTGGGGTGGCCTCAGCTGCCCTCATTCTCCAGCTGCAACTCAGACTTCATTCTTGAAAGAAAGGAGAAATTTTAAAAAGACGTGTGGAATAGTAAAATAATGATGTTGACTATCTGCCTTAGAATTGTCTTAATTTGTTAACGTATGATCAGAAATCAGATTATGACCATGTCAAACAGAACAGCAATTATATTATTGCTTACATAACTGGGGGTCTGGTTGCTGCCTTTTATTACAGCTTGCAGGAAAATTCAGGAGCCGTTCAAAGAGATTTAAGTTGATAATATCAGGCTTATACTGTCAAAATCACTGCATAAGGTTAAGCAGCAAAGACAGCCTTTCCACAGTTCCATTTTTACAAAGCCAAACAACTGGATCAATACTGAAGATATAAAACAAAAAATTTCTGTATTCTCACGTATTGGGTATTTTATGCTTAATGCCTTTAAGAACATGATATTCTTGGAATAATTCAAATTGGTATACTGTGTTTCTAGTATTTCTTTTCCAGTGGTCAGTATATGAATGGAGTAGGTTACATTGAACTTTCTTAATGATATATATTAAAGTAAAAATAAACATTTCAAATTTAGTAGCTTATGATGTAATTAAACAAAAAATGTTAAGTGCAACAATTTTACTTTGATTTAGAATATCTGACTCACAGCACAGCTCTGATGACTATTAAATCTGCTTGAAAAAGCAAATCTTATTGGTACCAGGTACAAATAAAACTCACAATCCTTTCCAAAAATATCTGTATTAAATCCTGTCAAGCACAAACATACTGAGACACACAGGATCCTTCAGAAGGATCAGAAGGCCCTCACACTAACTGCAGGGTTTTTTCCTCATTTCTATGGCATATGTTGTATCAAAAATCACAGCAAAAAGAAATTTCATGCTCAAAACTGAAATTTTTTCTCACATTTAACTGAGCCAAAAATCCTGTGATGGCAGAATTAAATTTGGGTTTGTTCTTAAATGGTAAGGAAGCTACAATATGGAACAATTACTGGTTTTTTACTCCCAACTACAAAGACTGTTACTTTCTCTGAACATTTATAATCATTTTAAAGTCATCTGTAGCTGTCAAATAAATCCATTGCCTCTGCCCAGAATTTCTCATGAACTTTGTTAAAGGAACTTGCGTATGTACTGATCTAGAAGAAATAATTAATCTTTTATTTTTTTTTGTAAAATGAAATGAGTAGAGCAGATGGGAAGTGACATTCACTTATAAACACTTACATTTAAGCAACATCTTAACCTAAGCTGAGGCTCTCTTCCTCAGATGAAAGATAAAAAGTGGACTGCTACCTCAGGGCCAGATCAGGCAGCACATCTAAAAATTAAATTCTAGACTGGTCAGACTCGGGCTGGGGAGAAAACGGTTTTGGTGATTTCAGTGTCTTTGTCTTCCACCAATATTTTTATTTTCTTGCGGTATAAATATCCCTAGAGGGAAAGATCTCACTGCATGTAACTCTTTTTTTCTGTTGAGTCATTTGGCTTGTTTATGTATCCTATGTAGAGGTGTAGTTTTACAAAATGCCTACTGCATGCATGAAGAACTCCTCTCTGAACAGATCCTCTACCTGAGCATCAGGGAAAGAAATAAATGTGTAACCGATGACATTTCAAGGGCAAGGAAAACAACTGTTCAGAGGAGAATTAGCTGATTTGGTTGGTGTTTATTTTTACTTCTATCTAGCAATCTGCTCTCCAACAGAAGATGCTTATTTGCAGCAGAGAAGGCTGTCTCCTGTTTGGACTGGCGCCCGATCTGGAGAAAAGGTGCGATTAAGGACAAGAGGTATGTCTTAAGTATGTATTGGCTAATGGAATAGGGTCCTGCTGTGGGAAGGGATATTGTGTGCGTCATGTATGATAGCTAATGAAGGATAAATTCTGCATTTCTTCCCATCATGCTTCTCATCCACTACTATATCTTAAATCTGCCTTACGCTCAGGAGTACTTATTCCAAACTAAGATATTCCACATCTGGAATTTTAGAATTAATTATTCATCAATAACTTATGTAGGGAAGCTCTAAGGTATAGCTCAGTTAATTTATTTTACACATGCTTACTGCCAAGTCGGAGGGCATAACAATTTCACAAGTCTTTTCCTTTCAAGAACTGTTTGGAGAAACTTTTACAATCCTGGTATCCTGTAACGAACGTCTGAATAGCTGCAGATTGCAAACTGAAGTAAAACAGATTGCAGCAGAATGGCGAATAGGTTAAGAAGCAGAAAAGAGCTGTTACTTTTTGCTGCAATCCCTAAGAAAAATGTAAAAGGATGGAATCCAATTCCATCTGCCTAAGGCTCAGCCCTTATTTTTAGGTTATTTCTACTGTAATGATTTTGTCTTGCATGCTCTCTCACATAAGACATTAAACAATGCCGAGTTACTGATGTGCCAGCTATGGTATCCAGTAGTTACCGAATATAAACCCGAGTGTTTGCTTTCTCCAAGTCTTTGCCTCGGTAATATCTTTAAACATAATAGCCTCTGCCTGTTGGCTTGTTTTCTCATGGGGAGGGTGACAGAACATTTTGTGTTCTCTTATCTTCAATAGCAATGAAACAGGAGGAGCTCCACAATGCGAAACCAAATCTACTGCTATTAATACAACATCCCAGCCACAGAGAAGAGATTTGTTTATTTATCAAAGCTAGAGATGCCTCTCTCTGACCTTTCCAGAGCTTGTGTGCTTTAGCTGGGAATAGATTCCATAGAACTGGATGCTCTTTTTAAAAATATACAGTAAAAAACTTACCCGTCCCTGAAACAGAGCCAAGGCTCTATCCCCAATTACATTAAATGCCCCGTAACTTGGAATATTTAGAGTCTAACCAGGGCAACAGTCCGTATTCAGTTTTGATTACTTTGCAGCTGCACAGAGACCGGCCAGCTTTCCAAAGCCCACTCGCCCTTCTTGCTGCCACTCAGCGGCATGCTCAGCTGGCTGTAACCATACATGGGCCCACTTCTCTCGGAGGCCTAACATCTGCCTGCAGCCTAAGAAACCTGCCAGCAGAGCTTGTTTTTTCTTTGCAGAATTAAAAAGTGTTTCAGACCGTACAGTTTTGTTCATTTTTTCTTTTTTTCTTTTTTTTTTTTTTTTTTTTCTCCTCGGCCATCGAGTTCCCCAGCTCAGCACGTCGATTCAAACACCGCTCACTTGGTGCCTGCTCCATGACTGCTCGGTATTTCAGCCTACACAGACTGTTAATGAGTTACAGAAGCAAACCTGGGAGTAGGAACTAGAAGCCCTGCGTGTCCTGATTCCAAGGCAATAATCATATTATATAAACGAAGAACAATATTTATGCCATCTCCTCCTCCCCCAACAGTTACAAGAAGGCAGCACACAGCCCTAGGAAGCCTCAGTCTTACCTGATAGCTGTGCTCGGAGCGTACCTGCTTAACAGGGCCCTTCCAAAAACCAGGGCCTATGGATGCCTTTGTGAAATCCCACAGACTGGGTTGGTTCCCCTCTCTTGCCTACTGTCCCTGTCCCTGGGCAGCTGCAGCATCCCTCAGCTGTGTTGGTCCAGGGACCATGCAGAATTGCCAGCCGCATCACCGAGCTGTTCATCTGAAAGGTAACACAGAGAAAAAATCATAAGCAGTCAGTTCAGCAACTAATCTGTCTGTCAGTTGTAGTGATAAAACCGCTTGTGGGGCTGAACAGGGAACCTTTTTTTTTGCTAAGTGACTTTGCAGTGCCTGTACCCGTGGAATGAGGGAAAGTAAAGGGACTGAAACCAGCACCAAGGTGTAAGATGGGAGCACTGCTGCTTCTTTGGGCAGAAGTACCAGATTTGTGGCAGGGTAAGTTGTTCTGTTGAACTGTCTTATGTCAAAGTCTTGTTTTAATTATCACTTACAGTTTTCTAGGCATTACATGCAGGGTCCTGTGGTTTGACAGACCAATTATTAAAGTAGCCTTAGAAATAAAAGGCAAGAATCCAAGATAACTGTCTTCTCTCTCTAACCATTGGGCAATATTATCTATAAATAAAATCTCCCAAATATTATTCTGAACCATATAGCAGCTTGGAAGGCCAAAAATCTGTCTTTCATTACTCTAGAGACTACTTCACACTTTTGAGGGAACTGGTTTAGCAGTGATGCATCCCCTCATGCTCTGACCAACTTCACACTTCATTTTTTATCCAAATCCAAGTAACAGGCTTTGGGGACCTTGTCTGTATTCCTTCCTACTCAAGTCTGTTCCCATCTGCCTGATCCCCTCAGTGACTTTATAATACTTCTTTTGTGTCACCAGAACTACTGCTGCCTCCCAGTCAAACTTCCCACACTGGTCTCTAAATCTGCACTCCCTGCTTTGCCGTGTTCAGATTTTGGATCTGCGAGTGCATGAATAAGGGCTTGTTCGGAGGCACAAAATTTACTACGGCCATTTTACATTTTGGGTTCAGACTGAGCTCTGTCTCCGTGGAAAATCGCCAAAAGGCATCTGATCCTGGTAATTAGGGGACGGTTATGCGAGGAACCTGTGGAAAGAGGGCCCTCAGCCTGCCCGCTCTGCAGCTGGGGTTTCTCCCTGGCAGTTGAGCCCGGTGATGTGAGAGGTTAGTCAAGAGTGGGAGCAGATTCCTGTGGGGCTTCACCAGCCAAATTCCTATCTAGCAAAAGGTTGCTACAGCAACTCTGAGCCTCCCGAGATACAGAAATTATTGTAATGGCTGCTGAAACACCTCCCTTCTGCTCTGAGACTGGATAAGGAAAATCCTTCCCTGTGATACAGCCTGGTTACCCACTACCATGCTGCCACACCAGCTCCGTACAATCTCCAGGCTTCCCAAACTTGCTCAGGAGCTGTGGCCACCTTTCACCTGAAAGCAAGATGCAGTTACCCATTTGCATGTAATGCAAACATAGGAATAATAAACCCAAACGCTACACAACTAGCACTATGCTCCCAGCACATTTTTCCCATGGAGAGGATATGAGAAAAAAAAAAAAAAAAAAAAAAAACAAGTCATAGGATAGGAGTGAATATTCTACTGAGTGAGCTGAACAGAATATAGAAACCTGTACATAGCCAAAATGTGTATAACCAGGGTTTCTCATTGACAAAAAACACATAGATACGAGAAAACATAAACAAAGCAAAAAAAGGGACAAAACCCCTCATAGCTTCCCAATGACTGTCCAGAAGTTTTTTGGCTGCCTCCAGCCTGAGCATGTTTTCCTCTGGCATTTGGCCCGCTCACAGGTCATTCAGTCCACTGGCGTATGTAATAAATACCAGACAGAGATGATGCTTTGGACAGAATGGGAACACTTGTGACCTAAACAGGACCTGGATCTAGTACGGGGTGGACTAAGGATAACAGGGGCATAGAACCAGCAAGTGTCAGCATACTCCTAAGTGCAAAAACTTTCTCAGAATTGCTCCTGTTTACCTCCCTTTTGCTTTTGAGCTACTTGGTTTGCTCTGGAAGCCAAAGATGAAAACAGCCCAATATCCGTTATCTGAAATCATAAGAATATCTGTTATCTGAAATAGCACCCATGTTTACTTGAAATAACTGAATGACTTTTAAAATTATTTATTTAAAAGAGAGGCCGTAGCTTTTTTACAGTTGCTCGATTTAAACCTGACCATTGCATTTTGGTCACAACAAAAAAGGATCAAATTGCTCTGGGTACAGATCCAGTAAAATTGATACAGTTACCTCCTGGCAGAATTTGGCCCAACACCCCTGGAACATCCTTTGGGATTATTCAATTCAAAATATTGCACTAATCCAATCTTCTAAAGTTGCCAAATGTTGTAATGTCTGGTATCAGCATGTGGCTGATATTTTTTGATGCAAGCTTGGTCTCTAGTTAATAGAGTATTTCTCTGGTTTCTTACTTCCACCAGGTCTGTGAGTTTTTGGGCTAACCCTGAGAAGCCTGAGAACGAACTTTGCTTTCAGTATATCAGAACACCATGCTCAAGTCAGAGGAAAGGTTTTTTTTGCTTCCTTCAGTGTAGTGTCTCCTGTGAAACTGATTCTCACAGATCAAGAAAAGCATAGCATTTTTAAAACAAAACATTTGTTAACTAAGGATTTCCTGGATTTTTCTGCTTTCTTATTTACACTGTGATCTGGATACTGTGAAACCACTGTTTAACTTCCAGTATTATTTATGGAAGCCAGGCTGTTGCTGTTTCCAGCCCTTACAGAGAACTTTCAGTTTGCAGTTTCAGTACCAGGTGCACAACCCCGGCTTAAATTAATCAGCTGAGAAGTAACACACTGTAAGTACGCAACCCTCTGGCGCCCTGGCTGAAGCTCCACAGGTAGGACCTTTTCTGCAGGCTGTAAGCTACCTCAGTAGTTGGGGTCCCAAATCCTGAAAGCTCCACGTCAGTGACATCAGAACTTGGGATTCTCCAACCTTTTCAGTAGGTACAAGTTTGGGAGCATTCCTGTTGTGCACAGAGAGAAATCTGGAGTTTTATCAGCAGACTTCATGCCTAAGCACAGAAACAGATTTTAGGAAACGAACAATTTTTATGAGGCTTTGCATGTTACAACTACTGATCAAAACTCTACAGTTCACAATAGAAGGAAATGGGCAAGGAAAAATGATTTAAGCAAACTGGATCCAGTTTCTGTGCAGTCAGTGTGACTATTCTGACTTAAAACCATGGTGAAAACATCAGTTTGAAGTGTGACTCCCCCAGCACATGGGCCCTGGGCTTGCATGCTGCAGCATTATGTGCTACCATTCACAGCTGCATAAACTAAGTGCAAAGTAGTTTGAAATTGTTAGAAAAACAGAAATCAAGATTTTTAATTATTTTGCATGAATAAAAATGACCACGTACAAGACAGTACAGAACCAGGTCAATGAAGCTCACGTGACTGCTATCTAAGCAAGGTTGTTAATGATTGCACAATAGGGAGCTGTAACGAATACAAGAGGATGAGAGAGAGCAACAATAAGTAACTTATTGCAAACTCTGCTCAGGTGCTCCTTTACCTTACAGTTCTCCTGTCCGACACCTGCAGCTTTCTGTCACCTGGCAGAAGACCTGGCATCATTGCATGAACTTCACCATCACACCAACAGCAGTTACAGCCACCAGAAGTCTTCTAGGACAACAGATAAAGGTTACAGCATGCTGAGGACCTAAGTGGATGTCAGTAGGATGGAATACCATTGTTTTCAAATGCTTTTTTGGAAACCAGGGGAAACACATCCTCAAAGTCTTCGTTTAAAAGTATTAAGACTACAAAATCAAACACTTGCTGAAATTAGAAAATGCTGGGTTAGAAAAAGAAGCCCGGAATCACGTAATTAAAGATTACTTTAGGGTACATGCTTGGAAAGGCAACCTTTCTTCTGGCATTTTCTAGCTTCAGTGTGCAGCAAATTATTCATATTTTGGCAAAGATGTTGGATATGTAAAATGTATATATTATATATAGAACCGTATTTATCTCTGGTATATTTTTGTCTCATAAATGCAGTTTCCTGTTTCCATGTTAGAAATTACAACATTAACATATTCAGATGCCAGTTGCTGGATTTATTTGCTTCTTGATAATCCAAATGCTGAGCCTGGATGTGCTCTGCCTCTCCATACTTCAGTCTTATCTAGCACTTTTTCTAAGCCACCCAGATAAATTATCTCAGTGTCCTGAGGTAAAGTGATTCTCTTGTCCAGGGTGTCTGGATTGCTCCACTATTTTTTTTTGCCACACAAGCATAAGGTCTAGCGTTAAGACCGATGAACAGAAGTTTTCTATATTTCACTAATTTAATTTTTAAAAAAATGTGCAATGCTGTACCAAGAATTTTGAAATAAAAGAATTGGCTTTAAAAATACTGCTTTAGCAGGAATGTGGCCAATTTATTTCAGTGTGCAACAATCCACATAAATAAAAAGCAACATATGAATCTGAAAATAATCTTCCTGTAGAATGAGAAAAGCGGAAAAAAGAATAGAGAAGGAGACCCGCTAATTCATCTTCTTTCAAATCATGTAAGAATGAAACATTCATTTGCACTTGAACAGATTTAGTTCTCCAGAAGGAAGCAAAAACAGTTTCCCATGATTTTTTCCCTGAAAATTTTGTAAAAATCCTTTGAGTTACTAAGTTAATATAGAAGCAAAAGGAACATATTTAACTTTTATGGCATTCAAATTCTGAATCACACACCTCACTAAAAGATATATTTTCATTCATGTCCTCTTTCTGTAATATGGATGTTCTGCAAAAGCAGCAAAACACTGCTCTTTGTTGCTCTGTTAACTGTTCAGTATCTCAAAGCGCTTTAAGTGGAAGTAAGTTTCGCAATGTATTGTGCAGACACTTCAGTTTCATTTAGCAAACTGAGGCACTGCTAAATCTGAGAGCAGAGTGCAGTGCCTTCAGTAACCCATCTGCACGCCCATTCCTTAGCCTTCCTCCTTCTTTCCAGCATATGCACACTTCCAGAAAATAAAAGGCAGGCAATGCACTTTGCATCCTCTGGCCTGGTTAGGGAACTAACAGGACACAGACCCCAGAAAACATACATGCAAGATGCAGGACACTGAACTTGTTAGTTTCAGGAAACCCTGATTGCCTCCATTCAGAGGTTAATGAAAGATAATTGTGTACATTTGCTGTTTGTTACTCAAATATCACTTCCTTATGACAATACGTGTTACCTAATCTGCAAAGGTCAATGAATTACTCTTTAGTTCCTTCCAAATGCCTGTGCAATGAACTTTGCCATTTCTAATACAGACCTCTCAGTAAAGAACTGGTGGTGCAGGTTTGAGGCTTAGAGCACCTCTCAACCTGAAAGCACCTTTGATGCCGATGTACTTCTAGCACTAACCATAGACCTTTGTAACTCTCAGACCCAAGCAGAGACTTCCCTGTAGAGCTGATTCAGAATTTGCACAGAATCCAGCACACACTAAGCACATAAGGAGTGTAGTTACGGGTTTTTTTTTGAATCCTCATGTGATATAAATATGATTACCCAATGTATTGGTCCTCAAACACACGTGGAAGGAGATTTCGGAACACTGAGATGCACTATCATCTGAAGTGTGATAATAGGTAATAGCTTGGGTGAACAACTTACTCCGCATTGTCAATTGGATCACTTGAAAAAAAAAAAAGAGGAGCAAACATGGAAAAATTGCAGATCCACAGCTGGTCAAAACTGCATAAACACACAGAGGCTGGTACCACTGAAATCAGTCCTAACGCTGCACAGAGCTGCTGATTTTTCACCCCCTGTGGGGCTCCACTAAAATCAGACATGTTTGTAGGGATCCTCAGCACAGCTTACGGGTTGGGGGCTGTGTTCTGAACCGGTGTGGATAGTTTGAATAGCACCAGAAATCTCCATGTAAAACCAGGACAGCAGGGTTTAACTTAGCAGGTAGTGGAATGCACAAGCATAGCACAGAGACAAGGCTGGGGAATTAGGCTGCTGGCAAGGAGCAGCTGAAAGCTGATTGAACACAACAGATTGGGCTTTCAGTACTGGACAGATAGGCAGCAGCTATTTAAATGGAGCATTAACAGTTTTGCTCTTAATTATTTCCAAACCTTCCAGCTAATGCAAACTCAGTATGACATGTATCCTGGCCTCATTTACTTGCTGTTTCTGTAGGAATCCAGTTAAAGGAGAGTTGAATGGCTTGTTGAGAATTTCTGTTTAAAATCATTCTCCTGTAACTGCTTGGCTTCTTTCTTCAAGCAGCTCTCATGTAAGTAATCAAATATATACCTCACAAAAATGCTTACTTTCTCCGTTTGAATTAGGATTTCTTTCTGAAATGACGCTGCCCTGCAAGGCAAGGAATGGTCGTCATTCTGAGCCGGCAGCAGGTGGAAGGCCAGTAAACTCCAGAGCAAAAGAGAAACTTTATACCTTCACAAAAGGGAGATTCCTGTCCTCACAGTTGTGGATCATTTGCTTTTTGGTCTGGGATGACCTGAGATCGTGGCATTTCTATGTATAGCACAGCTTCTTCTGGAAGTTTTAAAAAGTGTATTAGTCATAAGTTTTATCTCAGATAATTGTTCAATTAGACTTGTGAAAGCCACAAGGGCTGGTTTATATCTCAAAGCACAAAGCTAAATAACCTCATAAACCTTTACTAATAAAAACGTCAAATTCAACTCAAACATCCCTGAAATAAGAGAATGACCTTCCAGAATCATGTTCCAGCAAACTGTTCTAATGCAATTACTTCCAAAAATGAGCGCTTTGAGCCTTGTTTTCAGACTTGTATTTTCTATACATCCTCTGATATACTATCTGCCAACAAAGATTGGAAACCCTCATCAGTACTAATGTAGTATGGATCCAGGGTAGGTATACAACAGCACTTGTGACAACAAAATGGAATGGAACAGAACAGCATAGAAGTAGAATAGCTCAGTTGGAAGGGATCTTCATAGCTCTTGTAGTCCAACTGCCTTCAGGGCTAACCGAAAGTTAAACCATATCAAAGAGGGCATTATCCAAAGGTCTCTTTAACACTGACAGGCATGGGGCATCACCCACCTCTCTAGGAGGCCTCTTCCCAGCCTTGCCCACCCTCCTGGCATAGAAATTTTTCCTAATATGCAGTCTGAACCTCCCCTGGCACAGCTCTGTGCCATTCCCATGTGTCCTGTCCTCAGTTAGCAGGGAGGAGATCGGTGCTTCCCTCGCCATTTCCCCTCCTGAGGAAGTTGTAGAGCAATGAGGTCACCTCTCAGCCTCCTCTCCTCCAGACCAGGCAACCCAGGCATCCTCAGCCTCTCCTCACAGGACATTACCAGCTTTGTTGCCCTCCTCTGGTCACGTTCAAGGACCTTAACATCCTTGCGGAGACCAGAACTGCATGCAGTATTCAAGGTGAGGCTGCACCAACACTAAATACAGTGGGAGGATCACCTCTTTTGACCAGCAGGCTATGTTGTGTTTAATGCAGCCTAAAGTGCAGCTTGCCTTTTTGATAATCTGTCATAATGACCTATCATAAAGACTGCTGACTGGCACAAATCCAGCCCATCAGAAATCTGTCACCGTGAATTTACAGCCTGAGATCTGTATATTCCTTTCATTAAAAAAATATGCAACGTCTGCTTTTTAGTTCATCGTACTCAGGAAAGGAAGAACGTCCTCTCACCGAAATGAAGTGAGAATGAATTTAACTGAGCCTCTTTCCTAATCAGAGTAATTGAATTCATTCTTCTTTGAGCCAAAATGGCAAAAAAATAAACTACTGGTACTGCCTCAGTTTACCGTGGTGATGAGGTATCTGTTCTGAATGACTGAGAAATTCAGAATGAATGAAAATGCTCAGAAAAAGAAACAGAGCACAATCTCACACGTGTCACCCAGGATCAAACAAAAGGATTATCTGGAAAGTCACAGTTTCAGGTGGCAACCACAGCTTTACATAAAAAGTGCAAATGTAAAGGGGATGAGTGTTTCCATCAGAAAGCTGGACATGGCACTTAGCAGCAGTTGCAATCAGTAGCCTATATTCTTAGCCACATGGAAAGATAGAGGTTTTTCTCATCAGCCAAGATGTCTGGAGAAAGAAGAAACAGAACCAATAGGAGCTAATGGCTCTAGCACTTCTTATTCAGCACAAAAATGATTGCGAAATGCCCACTTCTAGTATTTTGAGGCCTTAACAGGTGTCACGATGTAGCACAACCCTGAATTTGTCTCAACATACAAGAATGCGGACCACGACTCTGTGTTTCCTTAGGGATGGTGAGCATCCACCTGGCTTTGACAGAATGCCTGCGGAATTACCACAACTCAGTGAGTGTGGACATTTTGAAAAAAGTCCTTAAAGGTGTTGCCTTTAAAGGTCAGTCTAAAGCAGTAGAGACCTTCCAGCTTTGCAGAGCAGCATAAAGATCTGCACAGCAAATATGAATTAGCAGATCTGCTCATCCCTTCCTACAGCTGTCATAAACAGGCGCTATAGGCACACAAGCCAGAAACAATTCATGTCTTTATCACTCTCAACGAGATTTTCATTTGTCTTTCTGCTTGGTCTTTTCTGACACATTTGAACTGTGAAAACTCTTAAATGTGAAACGGTAATCAAGTTCACACTCGGGAATGGTACATGAACTCAACACACTGCCCCAAGGCTTAGGCCTGAAGGAATTTCAGCTGTGCGGAGATCCGATGGAATAAATGAAGACAGAAATACAAGGCACATGCTGACATCGCTAACTATGAGAACAGGCAGGCATTATGGGACTGATAAAAATAGGATGGGGGTAGAGGTGCATGCAAACCAACATGGCTTGCAACGACAGTGACTCACATTCCTTTTGCACATTGTTCTAGCTGCCATGTCCTCCCCAGATGAAGGCAACACCACCCAGCACAGCTGAGCCCATGTGGGACAGCAACAAGGCTTGCTCTGTTCTCAGCGGCTGCTGCAGAAGTTCTGCCACACCTAAATTATTCCTGGAGTACTTGGTCCTCCTCCTCCACTTTCTGCATGGCTGATTGAAGCTGCAACCTGGCCCTAATTTTGCAGCTAGTCTCAACAAGTACAGTTAACAGCCCAAAGCATTCCTGGCATCCTGGAGCAGACATGAGCAAGTCTTTTAGTAGCTGATACCCAAAAGAGACAGAATATATTTTCCAATTATGGATTTTGGATAAAAGTTAGGAGTTACGAACTCCAGCTAGACAGTTTGTACTGTACCTTCCAATTCAGCTACGGATGTGAAAGATTCTTGAATTTGCAGTCAGAACAAGGTAGGACAACGTCTGCTAATGCTTTTACTTTCTGTTTGCAGAGACTGGAAGAAAAAAATCTAGTTTCTCCACAATGGAGCAAGTTTTTGTTCCAAGCTTTATTTTGCTACTTCATTGAAGACAACATATAGTGCTGTATGTTTTTCACATTTCTTGTGCTATAAACAAGAAAAATAGGTTATTTATTTTTTCATACTTAACCATCCTCATACCTCATATTTATAGGTTTTTATATCACTGTATCATCTGTGCTAAATGTCGTTATTTTTCTTGTACAAATAGGGCACTGAGACAAAATGCTTACCTACATAAGCCAGAGGCAGAGTTGGAAATAGAATTGTGGTGTTGTGATTTTTTTTTAAATTCCAATTCAATATTCATCAACAGAAAATTCAGAATCTTCATTGACAATGCACTTGGATTTAAAACATTATTCTGCCCAGTTTTAAGATACTGTATTATGTCTCCAGATGGCTTTTTCTTAGAGCTATACAGCTGGAGTACAAGTGTTCTGAAATGTCCCAACTGAATTTCAAATGAATATCAAAAATAGGCAAGGATATACATGATACATGCAGAATATGTATCTAGGGAAATCACAGAAGATCTAGTTTCCACTAGTTGGTTATACATAAATTATTTAGGCAATCTTAGTAAGCCTGTTGATTAGCTGGAGGCAAAGATATCTATTTTAGTTGTACCTAGGGTCAGGATTAACTCACAAAACGTGGATGGCATTGCCAATAAAACAGCTAGAATCATTTCAGCAACCTCATTAAAAAATGAAGTAGTCTCCTTTTATCCCTTTAAAAAAAATCTTTTAAGTTTTCCTTAACAAAGAAGATGAGATTTTTGAAAATCATGTGATAAATGTCTTCTAAAGCTATACTAGAAACTATTTAGGGTGACTGGAGAAGGAACAGGACTGAGAGCCAGGAGACTATTTCTATTTCTAGTTCTGCCATCGACTGTGTGACTTTGAACCTCAGCGCCTGTTTTTGTGAAATGGGGATGATAATATTTACTGTTCTCTCAGGGATACTGTATAATATCATTTTCATCAAGGCTTATGGAATGCCTAACATCTTAGATTAGAAGAAGTTTCAAATTATTAATAAAATAATAGAAACCGCAATATCAGCACTACTATTAAAAATAATGTTTGTTAATGCTATTAATAATAAATTATAAGCTTGATAGCACGGTTCTCAAGAAAAAACCAACCTGGTCATAGCAGGAATATCATTCTAACACACTTCTAGGAACAAGAAAGCTGCCGGCATAGCTTCAACATGGGAGTGGAAAAGAATTCATGAAGTTCTCTGAGCAATTGTAGGTGGTAGAAATGAATATCTTTTCAATAATGCTTTGTGACACAGGAGCAGAAGCAGCTTTAAGAGCTGAGCAGTATTTTTAAAATATGACTCAGGAGAGGTTTTCTTTTGCTAACAGAATTGGGAAAAAAAAACGCAAAAAACCACCCAGGAGTCAAACAATCTTTTAGAAACCAGGAACCTTGAAATAGAACAAGTATTGTAGGTCAGGATAATTTGAGTTCACATGTAACACCATTGGCACAGAAGAAATCTATGCATAATAAACAGAGAAAAGCAGACCTGATCTACTGGAGGCCTTGAGCTCTGAGAGATTAATCATAAGATTTTTTATTTTCTGAGTGACCAAAAACTACCACAAGTAATTTGGGAGGTTAAAACCCCCTTCAACAACCTATCATTTTCATGAAATACCTAGATAGATTGTATTGAACAGCAGAAATGAGATAAGGAAGCAGAAACACGAAAGATCAATACAGCAGTTATTCCACTAAAGCAAAATGCATTCAGATTTGGTTAGAGTCACATTAAGAGAAAATGAAGGCAGTCCTGCAGCTTCTCTTTTCTTCCTGGACAGCCCACATTAGGAAGCTGATGTGAGGACCTTAAGAAAGGTAGGGGAAGGTGACAGACAGAGTTTAATTGCACCCATTAATTGCACACTGAAATATTGCCTTTTTAAAATAAAACCCACACAGACTGTGGGTTACACAGACTTCTGATGGTTCAGACTGCATGAATGTAACTGGTAAACCAAAGAGAGCATTTGGGTTTGATCTCTATTCTTTTTTCCTACATCATGGGAAAGGAAGAATATCCAACATAAAAGAATTTTAAATATTTTGGAAATTCTATATAATATATCACATGACTCACAAAAGGGCTTTGTTTGATGGTATAGCAGAATTTTATCAATGTCTGCAAACTGAAGTGTGCTCCTTCAGTACGTTGATAGTAACTGAAAATGAAGTAATCTCCATGACTAAGGTGCTACTCACCTACATGGAGCACATAAGGATGTCGTGCTTTCAGTCTTGAAAAGTCATAGAGAGTGTGACTTCACTGTGATTCAGCGAATATATTAAATGATAGATATGCGTTGCACAGGGGAACTGATCATGGCACAGTACTGTAACACCGGAAAACACCCAAAATATACTGTTTACATACCACCCCGATTATAGCCTCTGATAGTGTCAAGAGATGCAAACCAGAAAGTTTTAAAAATAAGTAGTTCAGATAGTTCACTTCAACCCAAGGCTCTTACTATACAAAGCTTAATTAAATAGAAGGTGAAAAGACAAAAAAAAAAATGGCACCTATGAGCTACATTCTGGCTGTCATTGCTGCTCACAGACTTATATGAACATATGAAAAGCATGTACTTTTCTCAGCCATCCTTCTTTCTTCCATCCTATCACAGGCAGGACCATGCAAAGCACTGTGTCTCAGTAATTTCCATTCTCTTTTCCTTTCAGTGTACAAGACTGGTTCTGTCCCCATAAATATCTACAAAGCAGGAAAGGAATTTGAATTTATAGTGCCCCTAGAGACGGATACAATGGTACTATTAATCTACAGTAATTATTGCCCTACCTTGTAGCTGGTAGTTTCTAGGACTTGTCATTAGCCTGCTAAGCACCAGACTAACTCACTTATACCTGATTAGTATAGAAACAAAGTGCATTACACGTTCAAGAGAGCGCACAATAAAATCTGAATGCCATGGTAGCATTTCTAATACACTTAATAATCACACAAAGAAAACCATCCAAAATAATTATCTTAAGTTTTAATACTGTGAGAAATCAGGCTGTGTTGTGTGTTTGTGTGTGTGTTTGTGTGTCCAACTTGGAGCTGGCACTGTTCTGAATGCCGGAGACTGACTGATGGCTTCAAACCTGGAGCAATTTCCTTGCTCTGAAAGTGGTGGCCCACTAAATTCTACAGGTAAGTAATATGTAGTGTGACCAGAACTATGACATCCCAGTTAGCCATCAGCTTGTTCCAGACATAAAATATAGGGCAATTTTATAACGCCTCCCAAACAGCAAACTCTACCATTCAACCAATATTGTGGCTGACCCCACATCCTTACAAGCTTGGCAGTATCCCTAGCCACTTCTACAGATAGCAAAATTGAGCTCCAGAAGCACACAAGGGATATTTACAAAGGAGAAAAATGGCAGCTAGCTGCCAAATTAATCAGAATTAGACCTTAATTAGATGGAAAATTCAGGTCAGGATGAGAACATAATTCAAATCTCATGGGCACCGACCAGTGCTTTATTTCTAAAGTTGTTGTGCATTTTTAAGACAGCAGTCAAGCTGATTTCCCTTTAAGAGAATGACTCGGCCAACAAATAAAGATAAAATTATTTTTTCAGATATGATGGATCTTGGTTCTGATGCTCTCTCCCATACTCCTAGATCTCCTATTGACGTCAGTATTAGGATAGGCAGATTTTTCCAAACAGGGAAATGGAGATGATCGTGGTAAATACTCTAATGGATACTTCAGCGAGAAACTAAGTGACTATCAATAGGACACAGAAATCAGAGAGGAAATCTACCAACACAAACTGTGATCTCTTATTGATATTGGCACCAAGATGAGAATCTGTCTCGCTGTCTCTTTTACACTACTGAGGCAGCAAGCAGCTGCTCTGTGCAGGAGCAGTGATCCAGTTCTAGAAATCTCCCAGCAGCAACCCTACCCTTTGTGTTCACGGTCTCTCAGGTCTCTATGGTAGTCACATTCTACCTGCTGCTGATACAGGAATGCACGTTGCCTAAGCAGAAAACAGATAAAGAGTAAACTCAGATTATTTTAATTGTCAAATTTCAAACTCATATTTAATCCCTTATTTTTCTACTGGTTTTGTGTAACTGTTTCATCGCAATATTTTTTGCATTTTGCTGTTTAAGCCATAAGCTTCTTAAAGGGAGAGAGGGGAAAAAAAACCCTTGACATAATACCATGAAATCACAGAGCAAGCTGACTGGAAAAAAACAGTTACTATATTTAAACTGCATTATCCTATCACAGATTTGCAGTTTTTAAACCTTTCCACTTTGATCCAGCATTTTTGCAGTATTTTAATACGTTTTGGTAGATTTCAAGTGGCTGAAACATTTTAATAACTGTAATTTAAGAGGAATAAAATAGTACTGTGGGAGGAAGAAACAATGCCCCCGTTTGTCACTCATGGAGATGTGTGTTTGAAATCATCTGGGGTAATAAGAGCAACGAGTCTGGTGGTCTCAACCTAAGTCTCATTAGGCAATTAGCCAATCTGCAAAAATTATTACACATTTTGGCACAGTTAAGCAGTATAACTTTATCTGTGTCCAGCTGAAAGAGATCCAGGCCTGGAATAAAAGGCTATTGCTGGTCAGCACAACAAACTGCCATTTTGTGTGGGGCGCGCCTCTCTCTGCTGCTGGTAGATCCAGTTAAAACTATTAATCTTTGAAACTTGAGCTTGAACTTGATGTTTTTGTGTACAAGAGACAACTCACGTTACAACCAGTAACTCTGCTGTGAAGCTGCTTTGCAGCAATATGGATGAGTTAATGTTACTGCAATTTGAAGGAAGGTATCCTGCAGTCCTTTCTCGGGCCAAATTCCCATTTACTTCAATTAGTAAGCATTACAGGAACAGTTTTAATACTGCTGCCTGAAGTGTTGGCTTCTTCTTCTAATATATTACACTGAAAAAAAAAAAAGATAGCAGGCCAAATGCATGAATGGTGTACTTCCATTATGTGAATGGAATTTCATCAAGGCTAAAGCTTGTTGTGCTCCTTTCCAAGGTAACACTAAAAACAAACTGCAACTTTATTTTGTAACAGCAAAATAAATCGGTTTCCTTCTTCCTTACAGATGGAGAACGTAAAGCTATCTCCACATGCTGGAAATACTTGTCTCCTGGAAGCTTTCATCGGGCTTGGACAGCTTAGGCGTGCTGAGGTGCCTTCCTTCTGATTGGGGTCAAGATAACCATATTCTTTAAGAGACAAGACAAATTTCTTAGGAAACTTTGTGAATCCCTAGATACCAAAAGATGGGAAGTAAGACTGTCTTCAGGTCACACTTTTAAGTTTATATGATATCAATTGATGCCAAAATTATCATGTGCTGATTCTGCTGCAGCATCTGCATGGACTATTTGTAGTTCATTCTGCGCTATGTTGTGTAGGCCAAGCACTGTGTCTGCAAATATTCTTCAAATTTTCAGCTGACAAATGATCTTTAAGGATTTGAAAGGTATCACTTGTGTAGAAATCCTCAGTGATCAGCTAGCATCAATCTTGCACATCTATGGAAAGGCAGGGAAACAATCCTAAAGGAAATGTAGATCTTTATCGTGCTCTGGAAGAGGAAGTCCTAGAGCAGTCTTTGATTCAGCCATTCTTCTCCTGATGTTCACTGAGCTGTAACAGCACCCAGAGTCAGAAAAAACACAGGCAGAGAACTGTACTTTCAGGTTCTTTCCACATTTTATGTAGGGTCTGTGTTCAAAAGATGCAAAAGAATGGGAAGGATCAAGTCTTCTGTTCTCAATGGAAGAGACAGAAACAAAGGAAGTGGAGTTGTCAAGCTGTAGCTGGACTACTGAATCCTAGAGAATGCCAAGAGTTCACCAGGATTTGGTAGAATGCAAACTCTACTCTCCTAGCCACATTTCTGCCTGCGAACAAGTTGAAAGGACACCATATCTACTTTTTTTTACATACTCTGCCAAGTTCTAATTGCACATGCCATTGTTTTGGTATGCTTAAATAATTTTCCGTAAGCCTTTTTGGAGGCAGGCACAAAAAGGAAAACAATAATGACATAAAAAATATGTAACAAAGGGAAATAATTATGAAATAAGACCTTTTTTTTTTTTTTTTCCTAATACCAGTTTGTTTTGAAAATTGTTACTGATACTTAATTATATTGCTTTTTCTATAACATTTACAAATAATACTTCAAAGTAGTAAGAAAACGAAGTGCATGACTTTCAAGTGCTTTACAGGGGTTCTTGTATACAAAGTCTAGTAAAATGTGTTTGTGGGGAAAAATGTTGGTGTGATAAATGTATTTTTACATAATGTTACATATACTGTAAGCTGTGTTAGTATGGTAGAAGATTGGAAGCTACCCAGGCATACCATACTGCCAGTCAGTGAAATATATTAATTGAAGTAGCTGGGCTTACTGTGTATATATCCATTTGGGAAATTACATGTCCCTTAACGTTGCACATGCACATACTATGGGGACTGACACTGAGTCTATCATTTGGAGGTGCTTGATGACAGAGGTACATATGCACTTGTGTGTTGGAAAACTGAAAACTTAGGTGTGGCTTAGTTGGGCCTGTGACAGGCATTCATCAGTTGTTCTGTTGGCACTGTGTGCTTTTTTTCTAGGACATTGTTTTGTAAGAATATGAATTTCAGATGCATGTGTACCCTCTGATTTCAGTTATGTTTTGGGATGATGGAATCATGTATTCATAGAGCACCACGAAAAATAGCAAAACAGCAACAAAAATATACAGTAAACTGTATATAAACTATACAGACTCTCATGTTAACATTCTTGCCTCTGTCACAGGGTATGTGTACGTATATGCAGGGTGATGCAGTGATACACAAAGCAACATAACTGTATTCAAGCAACATTTGGCCATGCAGATTAATCCTGCTGATAAGCAAGATAAAATTAATACGAGCATGGAATAAGTAATTCTCATACTTGAACTAGGTCATCTGATTGTAACTCATGAATTTTGTACAGAACTGCCCTGTGAAGTACAGACATGCAGACACTAAATCCTTATCTGGACATTGGCTGGTTACACAGGAATCTCTTCTAGGACAGCTGTACTTTTGCTAGAAAGGATAGAGGGCAACACACAGCTTAGAATGTCATCATTTAATATTGGCTGTCCCCTCTCCTCACTTCTTGTGCCAATACAGAGGTAAGATTAAGAGATTTTCCTTCCAGATCAGCCAGTTCCTCATAGCACGATATTGTGGGTGGTTTTTAACACTGGTGGATATGCAGATTGTATGTAGGATCTGCATTTATGTAAGCCAGGACACATGTACAGATCAGCTTTTGTGGTTGCACACGCATACACAGGAGTGTTGGTTGGAACTGAGTGCTTTTAAGGGAAGGTATTTATATTGTGTCCTGTATTGTTTGCGGCGTGTTATGTATAGCTGGTGTCACTAGTGGCGGTCAGTGCTGATCCCTCTAACAGCTTGTGCTGTGTTCCCTGAAGTTTCTGTGAATTGTTGGGGAGGATGGCTAAATCAGTCAGTTTTCTGTATTCTATATTAGTTTTTCAGTCTGTGTCACTTACCGAGATACTGTGCTGCGGAAGGCTGGTATCTCACACCACACACGCTGCTGAAATCACACCGTGCAGTTTCTACCTCCTCATGTTATCTCGGTGCAAGCCGGGGCTGAGTGTGCGTGTTACGGTTATGCTGGCGGGGCAGGGTGCGACTGGAATGGGAACTGGGGAAGGCTGGAATGGGAACTGGGGAAGTCTCGTGGGAGGCACTGCTCTGTCAGCACAGGCCCCGTCACGGCCGGGGCACGATCTTTGGGGCACAAACCCCTCAGTGTATGCACGTTGGCACACAGCTCGTGATTTTTTCCCTCCTCGGGTGGATTCAAGGCTGGACGAGGCTCCTGTCACCACAGAAGTGGAGACAGCCCCACTCCCCCCTTTGGGTACTTGACGATCCTGTCACGACACAAACAAGGGCAACCCCACACGCGGCTCCAGTCACGACAGGCCGCTGCGCTGAGACACCCATCACCTCATCCCTCCTGACGGGGCTGCACCCCCGCGCCCCCACAACCACCAAACCCACGTCGAGACCGCACCATGAGGCGGCTGCCACCGGGAGCCGGACCAGCTCGCCCCCCACCCGCGGGCCTCATCCCCCGGCAGGGCGGAAGCTCTCCCGCCGCCGCATGAGGCCTGCAGCGCCCGCCTCCTCCTCCTCCTCCTCCTCCCCCGGGCGGAGGGCGGCCGCCCCGCGTTGCGCAGGACCGCGCCAGGCACCGCCACCGCCACCGCCATCGCCTCAGCGGCCCCCGGGCGGGGCCGCTCCATCCCCCGCCCCGCTCCGTTCTTCCCGCCAATGAGCGGCGTCCACATGCCGCGGCGGCGAGTGGGGCCCCGGGCGGCCCAGCTCCCGTAAGTTACATTAGAGCAGCCGCCGCCGCCGGTGCGCGACCGGAGCCACGGAACCTCGCGGGGGGGAGGGAAGGAGGGGGTTGAACGAGCCCGCAGCCCTGACGGCGGCCTTGGGAGTGTGTGTGAGGGGGGCGTAGCGACCCTCACCCGGCTGGGAGGGAGGCAGCGGGGCGGCTGCGCCTTTTTTTTTTTTTTTTTTTTTTTTTTTTTTGTGTGTGTGTCCCCCTCCCCTCCCCTCTCCTTCCCCGCCTCTCGGAGCCGTTATCGCCGGCCGCGGGGGCGGCTCGGAGCTCGGCGAGGCGAAAGGCGAGGCGGCGAGGCCAACCGGCCGCGCTCTGCCCCGCGCCCCTCAGGCCGCAGCGGCTCTCCTCAGCCAGGCTTCGGGGGTGCCCGAAGCCCCGCTCGGCTCCCTCAGAGGGCGTGTGGGGTGGGAGGGGGGGCGGGGGCTTTTTTTTTTTTTTCCATCGGGTTTTTCCCCCCCCTCTCCTTTTTTAATTTTTTTTTTTTTTAACGTCCCCTCCTGCCTCCTTCGGGAAGAGAGAGGCGGTGAGGTGGGCTCGGGGGCTCTCCTGTGGTGCGGGAGGGGGTCTATGGTGATAGCACGGGGGCGGTGGGGGACAGAGCCAGGCGCTGAGGGGGCTGAGGAGGGGGCTCGCCGCTGCGCCCGCCGCTGACGAGGAGGAGGAGGAAGAAGAAGAAGAAGAACCAGAAGCCAGGCACCATTTGCTGCTCCTTGCCCCAGCCATGGAGAACGCGCACACAAAGACTGTGGAGGAAGTTTTGGCTTATTTCGGGGTCAACGAAAGCACCGGGCTCAGCCTGGAGCAAGTCAAGAAGCTGAAGGAGAAATGGGGCTCCAACGGTAGGTGAACCGGCCCCCTCAGCCGCGGGGATGCTGTCGCTGGCATTCGTCTTCTTTTCTCCCTCCGCTCCCTTTTTTTTTTTTTTTTCCTCCACTCTTTTCTCTTCCGCTCATCGTTCTCGGGGCCCGGTTTCAAGGCCTGACGTGTATGTATTTGCAAAGCCGGCATCTCTTACAGGACCCGGAATAGGAGCGAGGGAGAGAAGATGGCTGACTTGAACTCCACCTCGTGGGTTTCTTTCATACCCCGAGCTCGCAGGGCTGCTTTGGGAAGGAGGATGTCACCTCCGTTTCCTTTCACCTTAACGGTGGGAAATCTTCTTCCATTCTGAAATGAAACACCGTGGGGTTTTTTGTCCGTCTTGACCTTCATTTTTCTATGCTTTCCGATACCTTTCTGTCCCTCATTTTACATTCTTCTCCGGAGTCGGGACACAAAATTCGTCAGATAGGGCGATTTAAAAAAAATCTTAACTATTTGTCCTTACTAGTCCCTTTTGAACTATGATGGCATTGTGTAAAAATGAAAAGCTGTGAGAAAATTATATGTATTTTTTTATTAGCTTTAACTCCCCTTTTATGCCTCTCGTAATGCTAAATGTAGTTGTGGGGAAATAAAGAGAGAGCAGAAATGAGAAAATCCTGAAATGGAGAAAAGCACTTGAAATATTTTGAACCAAGTTCCTTCTTTGATTTTTTTAAGTGGTTGTGGAGGAAAATCCTTGTCAGAAAGCATTTGGAAAGCATTTTAAGCCTTTGACCCTTTGTATGCAGCAACAGCAGAAGTCACACAGCTGGCTGGAGTGATGACTTGGCTGAATTTACAACCCTTAGCAGCTCCCAGCTAACCTGTACGTGTCTTAAAATGCAAGACTAGCAGGCCTATTCAGTTCTTACAATGAAAAGAGCTGCTTTAATGGCTCTTAAGGTATGGCTCTCAAACCCAACTGAGTCGAGTGTACGATGCAGAAGCAGTATCTGGTGGATGCCTTATAATGCTCTAATGTTTCTTCAATGATTTCTTCTCTTTGACATGCTTCCTGAAAAAATCTGACTGACAGAATTACCAGCTGAGGAAGGTAAGCATTTTTTCTTGAAATTTTCTAGTTCTTGTCAATAGTTCATCCTTTTTTATATTCATGACTAAATGTCATCTTTACACATTGCAGGAAAAACCTTACTCGAGCTTGTGATTGAACAATTTGAAGACTTACTAGTTAGAATTTTGTTGCTGGCAGCTTGCATATCTTTCGTAAGTATGAATTGTTCTTATTTCATTGGCTTGTATATTGCAGACTCAGAAATGACGTATGTTCCAACATATAGGAGCTGTACACCCTTCTCTTTCTTCAAGAGGTAGAAGTATAAGATGCTTAGTAAATCGCTCTCTCAAATTGGTTGCCTTGTGAATGAATTTTTTTTCTATGCTAAAGAAGAAAGTTTTGGGGAATCTTTCACTGCATGAGTCAGAAGTACATAACTATGCTAGGCAGGTATTTTAAAAGTACTTCTTATTCAACCCCGCTTGCTTATTTGAAGTGGGATTTCCCAATGCTTTTGTTGGCTTTGAAAACTAACCTTGAGTAAGTGTTTAACTGGTCATCCTTCTTGCCTTTGAGTTAATTGTTATCAAGCTCAATGTATAATCACCGCAAGACATTTTTGGATGCAGTGCAGACTGTAAATAGAATTTACATGGCGAATATTCCAGTTGCCTTCCCTTCCTGATAATAGCAAGGTGACAGTTGTTGCTTTTGACAGTGACAAGAATGATGACGGCTGTGATGGCACCATTGTTGACCAAATTTGGTAACTGACCTTTGGATAGTCTAGTCATAAAATGAACATCTTGCTTTGCGTACAGGATTAAAAGAACAAGAATGAAATTTAATTTTTTTTAAAAAGCACGTTTAGTTGGTCATCTTATGCAATATGTAAAATGTATGCGTTTACAGAAAAAATGGAAATCTGAACAAAGTTTTAAGTCTAGAAGGAAGATGAGAGCTATGCATCTTAGGGAGCTGGATGACAGGAAAAAAAGTGCAGAATATGAAATTGTTTCAGTAGAAGTAAAAGTTTATAGTAGACTTTGCCCTCCAGTTGTAATTAACTACTTGGAAAAAAAAAAAGCTGCAGCTGTTAGGGGTGTGGAAATTGTGACTCTAGCTAAGGGCAAGGTAATTAGATGGGCAGAGGAGAAACTGTTCTGTAATGGGGGAGGATATGGAGTTGGGGGAAGGGTTGACCTGTTGTGGCTGCTGCCGCATGCTGTGGTGCTGATCCTTGACCAAGGGAAGTTTTATCTATCCCCACACCGACACCTCCTTTCAAAATGTGCTGGGTTTTGGTATGTATATACCGTTACCAGCTGAGCAGTGGTTGGTGGCATTGATCTTGGCTGTGGACACAGAGGTGCTTTACTCACTCTTCTGTTTCCTGGGGAGGAAATTGGGCTGCCCATAGCAATTTGAATAAACAGGTCATTCAGAAGTCTTTTTTCCTCTTCTCTTTCTCATTTTCTTTCCCCAGAGGATGGAAAGGGGATGAAATAAATGACAGTACAGAATATTGTTAGCCTTTACTTCCAACATATATTTTGTTTTTATTGTAACCAAGTGACAAAAACAACTTCACCAAACTTAAAAGATTTAATTGCCGAATGAGTATTCAGTACATCACTAGACTGACAGCAGTCATATAATATGCACTTCCAAGCATGCTTTGCAAACTTTATTAGTAACTGGATTCAATTTCTCTTTTTCAGTATGCTTAATTTTCCTGCCTAATTAAGGGGAGACTGTAGTCGAAAGGAGCGTAGGGTAGATCTGGGTTCTCTGCTTTTGTGCAACTGGCATGGTGTATGACCTTGGGCTACTGCTCTGCCTTTTCTCTGTCTCCTATTTAAGAGTTATGGCTACCTGCTGTAGGATTATTTTGGGAATAGCAGGGATTTTCCTTTGAATGAAATGTAAAGGAAAAAACTTAATACATTTTATTTCTGCACTTTAAAAGCACTCCTCCTTTGTGTTAGTTTCTGGCTTTTCCCCTGTTCAGAATGTGATCATGCATTGTCTGATTTTATTTTGTTTTGACACTTCTTCTTGATGAAAGCATATTAGAGGCTTTGGTAGTAGCTGCAAGGAACTGTTGAATGTGTTCATAGATTGTATTGCTGTAAAATTGGGTGGAATTAACATCAACTAAATTCTAGTGCTCCTGAAAACATTTGAAGAGTGTGCGTAGCTGTGTTAAGCATGTGGACAGTAGTTTTTCCATGAGAGAACTTGAAAATAACTACATTAAATACTGGTGTCGTATGTGAAGTTGAGACTAATAAATTATGCTAAGTCATTCTTATGGTAGAACAACTTAATACTGAAAGTTAACTTAAATGCGTGTATTATGCTCTTTTGCAAGCCTTAAGAATTCAGTCTTGCCATTTGTTCTGTTGGAAAGCATGCAAAACTTCCTGTACCTTAGAGATCTTGAAATGGATAATTAAAATGGAGTCAACTAAATTTGTGTTGCTTTAGGATATTGAGTAATACCACTGAGAACTGCTCTTTCATCTAATAAGACTTTGCCTTTCTTGGGGGCAGTGTCAGACCCCTCAGACTTACGCATGGGACGGATGTGCACATTCACACTTCAGTTCAGTGACTACTTCTTACTATATTTTATTGTTTGATAGACACTACAGTACTCAGGTAGGGTGTTGGATAGTGTACCAGCAGAAGTAAGACTGGATAATGGCTCTGGGTTGAAATAACGTCCAGCTGAAGACTTACAGACCTGGTGTACTTATAGACCTGGTGTACATCCAAAAGGGAGTTTCTGTGGAGATGCTTAAATGAATTGTTTACTTTGCATGACAATAGGGGAAAATGGCTTAACGAGCTTGGGTTTAAGAATGAATGACCCCCAGATCTTGCTAAGTCTTTGAATTACTAGTGAGAGGGCCAACAATTGAAATTAGGCATGAGTATAGGATTGACTTTATTTTTAAGCTTTGAGTGTGTCACTAAAACTTGCTAGAACTTGAGCTGTTGAGTGTACTGAAGATCAGATGGAGAATGTACTTCACCGTGCTAGTGGCAGCCAGTTGTCATTGCGTGCTTGCAGTAAAGGCATGGGTGCTGTTAGGGCAGTGAAAGTAGTGTTCTTCTTCATTGTCAGTTTAAAGAAACTGTTGAACTTGAAGGTTCAGGTCTAAGAGATGGAACCTCAAGGTATGTTAGGGTACTAGTTTGTGTCATGGAAGCTTCTCTGGTAATTGTGTTGTGATCTTAAATCGTATTAGATTTTTACTATTATGATTGATGGCACAGAAAAAAGTCTTTAACATTGAGATCTGCATTCAGCTACATTTTTGTGTAGCAACATCACCTATTACATACCATAATATTCTGTATTCAGAGTGCCTTTTGTGTCCTCTACTCCCACAAGCCCTGTCAGGTATGTGTCAGTAAAATAAATCAGACTAACAGCTGATTCCTTGTCACCCTAGCTGATCGCGGGGGTCATATGCTGCCTGTTGCCTTGGCTGTAGATACCGTGTGCTACATTCCAAGTCGGAACTGCTGTTACAGATGTGCCAAGTTAGTAACAGCTTCAATTCTTACACTGTTGTTTCTCCAATATTTTTACTGGCCTTAAGTATGGCTTTTGAAGAGAAACAATGTTATTTCTGATTTGAAGTAAATGGATCTACATGCGCACTCGGATCTTGTCTCAGTGTTTTGTCGGACACGGTGAAGCTTTTACAGAGGTAACTAGTGAAATGCATCTCAGTGGTTCAGGGGCTTTGGTAGCTTGATTTTCTAGGTGTAAATAAGAGGATGTTCAATTTACCATGAAATCCAGCTTTTAATCCTTGCTATGTCGATAACACGCACTAAAATCTACAGTATTTACGTTAAAAATAAGCTTGCTTTGCTGTATAAATCACTTCAACAAGTTGTAAAATGTTACTTGTGCCCCAGATTGGGAATAATGCTTTGAAGAATGTGGTGTATGCTTAACTGTACAGTCCTATCTTTGCATCACATTTCTGCTGAGTTCTCTTCTACACGATGAAGTATGTGCTTGTAAAAGCTTGTATTTTAAAGTTAAAACTTCAGCATCCTGAGAGCACTCCTCTTTGGTTCAATTACTTCTGTAATGCTTGAACTAACTTAAAAGTGAATGTTCTGGGTCTCTTTCTGCTGGTCAATGTGTGTGTTTAGATGAAAACAATATATTGTGATTTAGGCTGGAGATGTTGGTTATATCCTGGAAATTAGCATGAGTATAGCCTCATCTGTGTTAAAAGGTGAACAAAGCCGCTGGTGAAGGGAGTTAGATGTGCCAGTAAAATGTTGCAGGCTTTGCCCTGGGATCACCCCAGAGCTACCTGGTAAGGTCAGGAGCTGTATGTGACATGAGATAAGGGTTGCTGAAGTACATTACACTGGCATGCTTTTAGCTAAACGCAGATTACTCAATAGGACCCGAGACACCAAATGATAGGTGGGGTGACAAAGGAGTAGGAAGCAATTGTGATTCCATTTTAATCTGTATAAATTAAACTATAAGTATTATGTATATTTATTGTTCCTGGTTTCGCTACAGTAATCACAGGAATGTTCTTGATTTAGAAGTATGGAGTAGCAAAACTATTGGATATTTATGATTTGCTAACCCAATAAAATTATTGATTTCTTACCAATAATTCTGGCCAAGATTTATTCTTTTTCTTGGATAGCAATTAAAAATAAAATCTGTTAGCAAATTGGGGATTATTTCCTGGTCTTCAGGATAACTGTCAAGTAACTAGAACAAGTATCAAGACTGCTAAAAAAAAAAAAAAAGCTTATCTGCTTAAAATTAAGCAAATTTGTATTGAGAAGAAAAATCGTTAAAAAGATTTTTGAGAAGTGGTAGTTAGTATTCTGTCCAAAACATACTGAATCCTAACTTAGAGTGTCCTGTGAGAAGAGGGCTCTCTTAAAGGCTTGCTGTAGTTCTACATGACTAGCTTTAATTAGTCTAAAACCTTTTTCGTCAGGATGAGGTCTTAATCTGCCTGCTTGCTTCAAAGTTTCCATTGTCAAAATGAAAAACAAACAAAAAAAAGCCTTGTTAGGTTGCTGACAACAAACTGTTTGCTTTTCCTCTGGTAGTAGGTACAGCCTGCTGGGCAACAGAATTTTATCTTGAAACTTTCATTCTTCATTTTATTCTTTCTGTTACTTAATGACAAATGGACATGTGAGGCAGTTTGCCACCATAACTTAACCTCGCAATCCACAGATATTAATTTGTAGAAATGCAAAAGGCTGTAAGGACACTTCTGTTCTTGCAGCTGTATTGATCAGTAGTCTGCCTCATTGCTGGCTGACTTCTGCATTGTACTTCTGACCCCCTTTCTTTAAATAACCACAAAAACTAAGTGCTGTTTGCCTGTTGCATGTTTTTGGACTTAGTATCCTGCAGGTCCACCCCATTATGCTTTGGATAAAGTAAGCTTCTGTAAGCCATGACTCTAGCAACACTAAATCAGATGTGCTGAATGAAAGTTGTCCTCAAAGCTGCTTGTGTTGGCTGTTGGTATGGGACTGGTAGGTCTTGCTAGTGATTTCCCTTATGCTGTCAGGCTCTTGTTTCCCCTGAGCAATTATTTTATCTTTTTCTTGCTTTTTAAAACATAAATGATAGTTTTTCTTACTGACCTGAACAGTCCATTGGGGATCAATGATGTTGTAATTAAGCTTCTCTATGTGTGAGTTTAAGTGGTTAAAATATGGTGGGGCCCTTCTGAGTAGTAGCCAAAGATCTTTCATGGAAAACCGCTTTAGGGTTTTAAAGTGTGCAAATGGAAGCTTTTTTGACATAGACTCAATGCCTTGGGCAAGAATTATAGTCTCTACTAGGCTTTGATTTACAATCTGTTATCAAAAATGCATAATGAAATGGTCCTAAACTTACATGTATTACTTGCTCTACCTTTTGAGCTTGCTGTGTTTGTTAACTTTAGGCTACTACCAAATAATAACCCCTGTTTGTTAGTGCAGCATGTTTTGTCGGTCACAAATGTCCTCAGTGGAGTGCTAATGTAGCAGTAGTTTGCTATAGCAAAACCAAGGACTTGCATTCAGGTGTTCTGTTATTTACATGCCTATGTTTGCACTCTAGAACTACACGGTGTAGGTTCTGTTACACAGTTCATGGTTGTGTGGAAACTTTGCGGGTGAGATGTGTGCTGCTTGCCTCCAGGATTAACTGTTTTTCATTTCAATCTAGTTACAGATCGATAACTTTGCCAAACAAGCAACAGTGAAGATCTAAAGCAACTTGGTAGATTTGTCCTGTTAGGATTTCTGAGTTCATCTGCTCTTTTTGAAATAATGGTATATCGAAAGAAAGATCTCAAAGTTAATTTTGGCTCTCCTTGATGCGCGTGGATCATGCTGTTCCTGTAGCTACTTTCCTTCCCTCTTGAAGTTGCAGGCTTTCTCGATGTTGCTTTACAACCCACATGGTCTTCAATCTGCAAAGATTATGGTTTAGTATTATGTAAAGCAGATGTTTTACTTCAGTTAACCTTGCAGTTGTCTGCTCTGTTAAGAATGCTACAAAATGATTGAATTTCCTTGCTTTTTTGGAAGCAGCATTGGCTTTGTGGAATCCCAATAAAGAAAGGGAAGGAAGAAACGGATACTAAGCAGCTTTTCTGATGGTGTGTGGCTTTGTATATGCCAAGGAAACTGGGACGTGCTGTTAGCCATTTCTATAACTCTGCTAGAGGCAACAGTGCTGGTGAAGAATAAAAGCTGCCCATGATGTAAGGAGTAATGTGTTGAGTGAAAACTACCGTGTAGGCTGCGCTTCAGCAGGTCAAATGGCAGAAGCTGTTACTGGGAATTGAAGATGTGTGGTGTGGGAGGAGGGAAGAGGCATTGAGATGTGAAGAGCATAAGAATTCCTAAGTAAATCTCTCTCCAGAGGGATTACACAGACCCTCCAAATTATGCATTGCCAGTTGGAGTGGTTCAGTCTTACTAATCATAACCTGGGTCTTACAAGTTTATTCTTTTGTAATAAAATTTGTTGTTGCATTGGGTTTGCTTGACAGTCTGCTTTCTGCTTGAGGCTTTCATGCTGCTGCTCCTTCTTCCTTTTAACGTCCTGGAGTGTTTCACAATTGAGCAATAGCTCTGAGCAGCATGTCAGTGGAATTATGGTGCTTGCTTTAGTAACGGTTTGCTCACTGCAGTCAGTGATTCAGACTGCTGCTGTTGCCTGACTACCAGTCCTAATTATCTCAACACGTTGTTCCTATTTACTGTCACTTTCCAGGCTTCCTGTTGCTCAATATGTTGACGAAAAAGCTCTTCCTCTCTGGTCACGTTAGCTTGACTTTTCTTCGGTAGCTACAGAACTCTGCAGAGGCCCTGATGCTTACCCATTCTCCTGAAGCCAAATGAATGGTAGAAGCCTAAACCTAGAACATGATTTGAAAGCAAATGGATTAAAATCTTCTTGGAGTCCTTTATGCAAGTTTTCCTGTTGATTTACTTAAAAAAAAAAAAAAAAAGTTTAATTTTTATCAGATCCTTGGCTCTGAATTCGACTTCAGATGTAATTGTGCAGTTCACTTAAATGCTTCAATAGGACATCAGTTGTATTTTAATTAGTAGATATTTATTTTCGTATGTACTCAGTGAAAATTTGTAAAGCTATTTTCATTTGTGTAAGTTACTGATAAAGAACAATTCAGTTAAAATTCAGAATCTAGCTATGCATAAACCTTAATCATGCGAAGCTTTAGTACTCTAAGTAGTCAAGCTAATCAGTCTGCATCTTGTTTTAGACAGTAATGAAAAATTTTTGCAACTTTTCAGTGCTGGAGCCGTTGTCATGACTTCTGCTTTCGTTTTTGAAGCAAGAGTAGCAGTATGGTTCCCAAAAAAATAGCTTTCTCCTTTAAAAGAAGAGCAGGTTTCAGAATGAACTTCGTACTACTTCAGTAAAGATTCTTTTTCTCCTTTTCCATTGCATATTGCCAACTCCTTCAGGAGCTACAGCTTGGAAGATTTGAGGGTTCTTCAAAATTGCTGAAGTCTGAGGAGTTGAACCTCAAGCTGAAATTCACTGTGTCTTAGGTTTGCAAGGTGTCAATGTAAATCACTTAATTTAAATCAGTGTTTCTCTCTTACAGGTCCTGGCCTGGTTTGAAGAAGGTGAAGAAACAATCACAGCATTTGTAGAGCCTTTTGTAATCTTACTTATATTAGTAGCCAACGCGATTGTGGGAGTGTGGCAGGTATGCAGATACTTTTACAATACCAAATCACAAATGTTTTGGAGTTTCTTGGTTTAAGAGGAACTGCGCTCTGTAGTGTCAGGTGCTTCATACAATGCAAGCAATATGTATGGCTAGATTTAGATTCTTAAGAGTCTACGTATCATATAAATTCCAGACGAAGTATTGACTAAAGGTGAAATGAAAGCTTCAGAAGTATTGCCAACAAGGCAAAGTGCCTGTCAGTTTGTTTAGCCATACACTGATCAACACATCAACTCAACTGTCCAGAATGAAGTCCTGAATTCAGGAAATAAACATTGCAAAGCTAAGAAGCAGTCATTTGTATAGGCTTACAAAATGTGGCTTTGTTCCAGCTGAGGAACAAAGGATGGGACATCTTGTAATTTTGTTTCTTGTCTGTTTCCTTTTGAGAACAAATACTAGTTTTAGTGCATTTGTTGAGGGAATTAACACAGTATTCTTCCTCTTCAATTACTACAATTCTTAGTTATAAAATAGTATTGGCAATAACACATACTGACACTTCTTAAAATAGTCAGAATGATATGAACAATTTTGACTTGCCAAATTTGATCACTTCTGATAGAACATTTTATTAGATTTTTTTCTGCAGATAAAAAGTATTACGGGGTTTTAGGGTAACTGAAGTCCCTTGCAGATTTTTTTTAAAGGGGTAGTGCAAATGTAACATAAGTACTTGCTATCCTAGCAAGTTAGGCTTCAGGCTTTTTTAGAAAAGAACAAGCAAAGCAAAACACAACAAACAACACAACAAACCAAACAAATAATGCTCTCCAAAATAACAATGAAAACTAAGGGAGAGACCTCTTAGCATGCTAAAACACGTAGGAGTCGAGCCTAAACACTGTTAACCACCAGAAGTGTCTTTCCGTGGCATTGCTATGTGTTTCTACTCTTTGCTTTTGTTCAAACACAAGTAGCAGAAGATTGATTTTTCTAGCGGAATCTTGCTTGCTGCACAACAGCTAGAGCTGGTAATGGGTGCAGAGGTTATGTAGAGTGAAGAACGAAAGCAGTGCACGCTTTAGTGTCACTTGTATAAAGCAGTTGTGGAAGAACTAATTTTTAATAACTTGAAACTGTGTGTTACAATTCTGCACATAATCTGAAGCCTGAAATCTAAGGTAAAGCTATCCGTATAGTTTGGGAATTTGCTTGTGTAGTCAGATAAACTCTTGTAGGGAATAACCAATTTTTTCAGATGTGCTAAGTGTGCAGAGAGTATCTGTACATCTACATGCAGCGAACTTAATTGTGAAACAGAATTGCTGCACAGATTAAATGACTCATTCCCTTGTTTTAATGGGCATGGAAAAAAGTCACAGTACGTAGTCTCCACCCATAACTGTATCTGTTTCTACAGGTACTGTGAGCAACTGAGTCATTGCCTTAGCTCTGCCCTTTTCAACCTTTCTTTCCATGTGCACATTTCCCAAAGCGCCATCTGCTAGTACTTAAGTGGTTGACAGGACAGTGTACCTACCCTTCAAATCAAGCAAACTGGGAGCAAAAAGATATGGTCAAAGATGCTGAGATGTTAACTCTTAGTTAATGCACAGAAAAGTAATGTCAGCATTATGTTGTTGAGGAGCAGAATCAATTTTCCTGGTGGAATATGAGGCTAGTATTACTAACAGCTTTTGGGACCTGCACTGGTACCTCTTCACGGCCTGGCACAGAGCTGTACCATGTAAACAGAAGTCCTTCAAGGTAGCTTTGGTGAGCTGCTTTGTTGTATGGAAACACCTCATACCTCAACCTTGGACTTTTTGAGGATTAAGTGTCTGTTTTGATACGTGCTGGGTCAAGTTTTTATTGTCTAGAAAGGCCGGTATGTATTTGAAGTGAAGACTTTCTAAAATCAAGGTGTACTAGCTGTACCCTTAGCATTTTCAGGACTGTATGATGTTTGTACTTGCAAATTGAGTGAGAAAATGAGAAATAAGTTATTCCTCCATGAGACAGAGCATCAGTAATGATAGACTGCTGGTTTCTTACGTTGCCCTATCTCTTGGTAGCATCACTGCATTGACAGCAATCTCTGGTAGTGTTAAGCTGAGGAAACTGCAATTGAGATAGGAAAGTTACTGTGCTAGTGTTTGTGGAAATAAAAACTTGTGTGTGGGGATTCTTCTAAGTTTGTAAGCTGTTAGAGAATCTGGGGAGGCTTCTTGTCAGTGTGCCTAAATTTCACTGTAGTGTGACTTAATTTGCTGAAATGAAACTGATGATAATGCTGTTGGGGAAACTTTGAGCATCTTAACTTGACTCTTGACTTCTATTAGTAGATCAAACTCAGTATTGCTAGCCCACTCCAGTTTGAAGGTAAGCTGGTACAGCTGAGACAAGGCTAGGATTACAACTCGTGGATATACAGATGCTTTTTGACGTGAAAAAAAAATCACTGCTACATAGAACAGTTTGTGCAGCCTCCCTGTAACAAGACATAAAGGATTTTCTTGATAGGAAATTCTGCTGAGTTTGAATAAACAGCATCTAGCTTCTAAATGTCAGCTAATATCTGAATTTCATTGTAATGATTTCCAGTCAGCAACCTCATAAGGGGATGGGTCACACAATTTTCGTTGTGAATAAATGTGGCTGAACTGAGTCAGTAGTATTTGTGTGATGCTGCATTTGAAAAGTTGGGTCTGACATACTTACCTTTCCTTACCTTGAAGGCTCTTTAAACTGCATGTTTTTTTTTTTCTGTATTTTAGGAAAGAAATGCTGAAAATGCTATTGAAGCTCTTAAAGAATATGAACCAGAAATGGGTAAAGTATATCGACAAGACCGAAAGAGTGTTCAAAGGATTAAAGCAAGGGACATCGTCCCGGGTGATATTGTAGAAGTGGCAGGTAAGGCTCATTTATGTGGTACATACATGTATTAGTTTGTATTGTAAAACTGTTGTGGGGGCCTTGTCTTAATGATTTGAGGCCCTGGGGGGAGTTCTTAGAGAAATCTTAAGTATATGCTTCACATAAAGAACAACCTTGCTCCTGTTCATCTGTAATTACTTTAAATGTGCATTTGCACTGAGGGGATTGTTTTTCAAATTGCCACTTAGTTTAATTAGCAGGTCTAAAAGCAAAGCATCTTAATTGGAGTACAGGTTTTAAAACACTTGTCACTACTCTAAAACTGCATTTTCGACAGTCTGGGTTCAGACTATCACGTAACTTGTCTGTTTTCTATCACAAATTTTTTTCCTTGCTCTTAAATGTGATGACTGAAATTTTGGAATGCAGAGATTTTTTTGTTTAGTCACACTCTGTCCTTTAGATAAAGAAAGCTGTAATTTAATTTGAATTTTTTTTCCAACTCTTATGCTTGCAGCGGCAGTCCTTTTTCAATTTCTTGTTACAAATGTCTTCCTCTGTCCTCAGCTAATATGTGCCTGGCATGTGACATCATTGGTTTCTCATCTTTGATAATGCCTTAGCACGTCTTTCTTTTATGTATTGCTGTACAGGAGGCTGCAAATAGAATAATTATTAAATAAGTAGAGCATCCTGTTCTCTACTGTGAGCATTTGAACCCCATGCCTTCATTGCTTCTTTTTAAAATAGATAAATAAAGTCCTAGATCAAAAGATTTGATTCTTGCATCAATTTTTTCAATAGACTTGTCCTAAAAGATGTATCTTTGTCTGGAAAGAGTACAAAAATGGAAGTATGAACTGAATATGTAAAACCCTTTCACTTTGGTGATAATGCCACAGCAATATCTCTTTCACTAAATTGGAGTGGTCAGTGACTTTGTTTCTGATTTCTTCCCGGATAAAAGTGGGTGGTTCTTGTTAAATGTCAGGAGTAATTGCATACTCATATTTCGTAGGTCATTATCAACTGTTAGCTGAGTGATTGCTCCTTTGGGAGCAATTTAGGGTGTACATCAAACTATTTCTTTTCCCCTAGCCTTCCTTTGCTTTTAGAAGTGGTAGCTGTCGAAGGTGGAGATAAATATATACCCTTAAAATTGACTATCCTGCTGTTTTAATTAGTAGGCAGAGAGAGTATGCACTCAAAATGAAGTTGGTGTTGGCTGGCTTCCCAGCTTTCATTCCTTGAGAAACTTTTAACGTTTGCTAAGCCCTGTCCAGAGTCTCAGTCCTGTGCACAGGATGATTCAGCTACGGCAGCTCTGGCTGAGGTGACTGCGAGTGAGTGAGAATCGCATCAAGGCTGAAGCTAGTTTGCTCTTAGTGTCTGTGGGTGAAGAACAAGTACAAATACAAAGTGCTGATAGCTGAAATAAAGGGTGAATTATGATACCTTGTCACTTACTCTGCTGTTTTACCTCGCCATTACCGTATTCTACAGTCAATTTAAATCCATGAGTTCTGCAGTGAGATGTTGTTTAAGCAGCTGAAGTTTTCTTTCTCCCAATTTTAAGTGCTTGCAATAGACTGGTGGTTCTGGAAGCAGTTTATCATGGGAGTATAGTGATTTTTGTGGGGTACTTAAATGAGTATTGGTAGAACAGCAAACTGACTGTATTTTATACAGGTTTGGGGTATCCAGCTAAGGAAAAATGCTAGATTTTGTTGCTCTGACAGGTGTCTAGAGCACAGAAATTTCCCAACTGATTCTTTGTTATTTCAGAAGCGGCAGAGAAATCCCATTTTCATCTTGCAGAAAAAGACAAAGCTCAGGTTGTATGTAAAACAGCTGGGGGATGTGCAGGCTTTACTTACATTGCTGTGCGTTGTCAGTATCAATAAAATCAATTGCTTGTGACTTTTAGACATCTCTTTGGAAAATCTTTGTCTGAAGGAGAAAAACGAATTGGAAATAAATTGCTGACTAGAATGTGTATATTGCTAGGCCGTCTTTATCAAGCATGGTACCCTATTTTTCACAGGGGAACTATTGCATTATTTTAAAATCTGATTGTAGATCAGTGTCTGATAGTTTGCGTGTGGAACGGATTTAAAAAAAACACACTAGTATGCTTAGTAGAAAAACAAAATTGCCCAACTTTTGTGATTGTCCTTTAACATAAATAGTCTAGCCTGTTGACTGACTGTAGAAGTACATACTAATTAAAACACTTGCTTAATCTGGTGGGTCAAATAGTACTGAGCATGTTTTAAGCACTCATTTTTCTTACATTGGTAAGCAGTCAGTTGCATCTTCAATGAAGGTGACTATATGTGTTATATTAAGTATGTCATGTGGTTGTTTTATACAGAAAATAAGTGCTTCAGTGTAATATGAACACTGATACTGAAACAGTATAAATTCTAACTTGTAGTCAGACAATGATGAAATTTTAATCGTATCAAACTCAGAAAAGCTCCCAAGCAAGTTGAGAAGAGCAATACACTATGTACCAGCTTTAGTGTCAAGACCTGGAGGTGAGGGAGAGTGTGTGCATGCCTGTCTCTCAAGCGCAAGAGTATTGTGATGGCCTTTGACATGGTGTTTGCAAAAAGATGACCATGTAGGGAAGTGACGGAGCACTTCATACTAGGATACATATCTGGGTATGGAATTCTAGGCAAAGTGCCAATGACATTTGTGTGTCCAGGCGAATATCTCTCAACCGAGTGGTGTAAATAACCAGGTGATAGGTTTCTCCCCTGTGTTGATACCTAATTTTAAAGAACTTTCTAAAGGTCCTCTATTACAGAACAGTTAATGCTATAACAGCTATCTTAATTTGATGTGGTTACATTGGGGTCTGATGCAGAGAGAACTTGCTGTAGGAATTGGTGGATTGGTATTGCAATTCATGCAGAAGTATACATTTTTATATTTGCTTCTTTCCACCGCAGGAGTTCTCTGAGAATAAGTGGCATTGAACCATTTCCAAAATTATTTGGTCTATCTTGTAGTTTTGAAGCCATTAAAGGTAACCTGTGCAGTTAAACATAACCAAAAGACAATACAATAATGGCTAATACCATTACTCTTTATTTTGGCTCCTTAGGCTATTCCATGGAGCTTGACTGTGTTCATTACATAGACTACTATGCCTCTTGGCCTTCTAAAATAAAGCTATGTGAAGATACTTCCTTTAATTGCTCTGTCAGCTGGGGAGATGGATGCTGGGGTATTGAAGTAATAGGGGGAAACTGCAGGTCTGCATTGTCACTGTGCAGTAAATGTGGAGTACCTCGAAATAGATTAGGCCATCTATCTCTTGAGGGGCACTGTCTTATGCTTATCTTGGGAATCAGTGTGCACGCAGGCACTGTGGAGTGCTTGATGAGCAATTACTGGTTATTATGGCTGGCAGCTAACATTCGACATAAATGCCACGCTATAATTTTGCAGGTGTACCAGCAGACAGTTGATGGTTTGAATGCCTGGAGACTATGCAGACATGAATTGCTTAACTGTATATGTTCAGAAACTTTTCTTCCATGTCTGCATCAGCAGAGCCAGTGGAAAAGATACTGTATAATCATCAGGAAATCTGTGGGATGGAGTTGGAGTTTAGGGGTTTGGGATATATGCCTTAAATTGGCTTGCAGAGCTCTAGGGGGCATAGTTCTCAGAACTGTAGTGTTTGAGGGTTACTAAGCTACACTGTTTGTTTCTTCGAATTGATGAACTGAAAAAAAAAGTCCAGATGCTGTCCTCAAATGGCTTCTCTGTGTGCCTGTCTTAAATGGATTACCACTCTGCTCTAAAACCTTAAGTTTATTGGAGGATGCACTCTAAATTGGTAACTAGCGGCTGCCTTAATAGATTAAAGATGCCCTTTGATGTTTTGAGTGTTTGTCTTGGTTAAAGTAATATTTTAAAGAGAAACTTAAAACAGCAGGGCTTTAGTTCTTAAAGTTTTATATGAAGCCCAGTCTGACAAGCTGGGATAAACTGGTTGCAAATTGCTTAATTATAAAAGAAGCACAGTAATGAATTTTGTTCACTTTTTTGCATTATTCTGTCTAAAGTGTTCTGGCTTAGATGGTGTATCTAATTAGATTTCTGTGATTTAATAAATGGATGTTCACTAGTTGTAATTTGTAAGTGACCAAGCTGGAGTCACAGTAGTCCCTTTTTCCCTGAAATGCTGAATAGTGGTTTCTGTCATCTACTGTTACATCTGTAAGTACTCAACAGCTTAAAAATACACAGACTTCCCAGAAATTGATGCTTATTTAATTGGTGGATATGCTTGAATACTCACTTTTAAGTTTATACCTGGCATAAAGTATGCAAGTGCTGCTTTCCAAGGCTTTTAATTCCAACTGCAGAATATTTCAAGATACTTTCTAAAGCATAAATACTTTATAATTAAGGGAAGATGAATTTTGGCATTAAAGTTGGGAAGGAATATTCTTGAACTGAATTACGTCAGACTCCAATGTGGTTATGAAGGAGCTACAGGTTATCCGTGTAGTATGAAGAGCAGACATCGATTTTTGCAGAATTTATTCTAAAGCAACTTGGTCTCTGCATTTGTGTTACTTTTTTAATGACTAGAATTGATCTTCAGTGCTAAAGATACAGGCTTATTTTCTGTGGAGAGGTAGTTGGAAGGAGTGAGAGTGGCATACCAAACAGCTACAACACAATGGAGTGAGAGTTCAGTCCAAAGTGTTGACCTTCTGGTGGCTGTCCTAAAAGCATACTGCTGAAAGCAGCTCTTGATATGGGGGGAAGAGTCAACTGTAGGTATTTCTTCTTGCCTAGTGCAAGTTGTTGGGTTTGCTTTGTAAAAATGAAGCACCAGCTGTTTTGCTTTTTCCATGAAGTACTGCTTTTGCACCAGAAAAAAAACACACATGGAAATAAAAACAGAGGTTAATAAATACATGTATGCATAGTACATAAATCTGTGGGCTGCGGTGAACATTTTGGCTGTCGGACTCTTCTAACACATCAGAGGCAGTTCTGAGATA